GGTCCGATTTTGTGCTCCGCGGCTCTAGCACTTGCCAGAAGCGGCCGGCGGAGGCCCCTCCCCCGCCGTCTATCCTCCCGAATATCGCCTCGGATTCACTTCTCCGCACGTCCTACCTTCCAGTAAGTGGTCGCTTCTCTGTTCAGAGAGTTGTTGCTACTCTCCTCTTCGATCTCCTGTTGAGTTCGTAGGTGTTCAGAATGGTTTGATCCCTATTCAGCTGAATTCCTGAGACCAGACGAAATCTAGGTCTCCTCCTCCTCCGCCATCTTGCTCTGCCTCCCCATATAAGATTTTTCAATGGTCTCTTGGCCCCTCTGATGAAGAAGTGATATGAACATATAAGATACTTAGTTTTAGAGGATGACGTGACAGGGTTTTCTGTGCAGTTAAAAGTTTGGTAAAGGTCTTTCTCAATCTTGAGAAGAGAACAGATATGAATAATAGTAATGCGAATAACATTGACTCTATTATTACTTTAACTTAGAAAGTATTTCACTGATGCCATCTCAAACTACCTTTACAGCATCTTTCTATAAAAGGAAGAGGGAGAGGCAAAATGATTAGGAAAGCAACCATCCCACAATGATTTCCTGGCAGGATGATCATAGCCTGGGCAAACCAGACACCTTTGCTCCATCATCTTAAAACTCTGGAACTGTTTGTATCTATTCTTCAAATGTGCAAATATGTTCTTTCTATGCAGAGATAAAGCATTTCTGCTGCTGTTGCAGTGGGAGTCAGGTCTTTTATCTTGGCATTTCCTACAGAGGCCACTGAGGCAGTGCTCACTTATGACCCTGGTGTTTTGGATAAGGCCCTGTGCTGACCCTCCCTCTTTTATCCACCTCTGCCAGGATTTTGGAGAGATGAGGGTCTGTGTCTTCACATTCTATTGTGAAAGACACAATGGTCAACCACCAACCAAAGTGATTATCTTATTTTGAAAAACAAAAGCTAAATGTTTTTCTTGCAGGGTCCTACCAAGAACCACTGAAGACACCCGTCAAAGGGAGTTTTGAAACAAATAACTCTGCTCTCCATTTTTGCAAGGCAGCTCATGCACTGGATAGAGGCTGGAATGAAAACGTTGCCTCAAAAGGCCAGGTAGGTAAAAAGAGAAAACTGACGATCTCATGTCCTGAGAAGCTCAGACAAATGAGTCCCAAATGTGGGGAAGGAACTGGCTTAGCCACTCTTACAAGTCAGTAAGAAAATGATGGGTTCCTGACAGAAAAAATGAGTGAGTGAAGGACATGAATAGGGGCACTTTGTAAAAGAAATATAATACCCAACAAATATACAAGTTCAGTTAGTATCAATCAAAAAAGTGAAAATGAAACAGAAAAAAGGTAAAGATCCAGATGACATGATACTATAGAGAAAACCCTAAAGACTCCATCAAAAGACTACCAGAACTGATAATAAATGAATTAGGTAAAGTGGCAGGGTACAAAATAAGTATACAGAAATCTGTTGCATTTCTATATACTAATAATGAAGCATCAGAAAGAGAAATTAAACAATCCCATTTACAATTGCACCAAAAACAGTAAGATACCTAGGAATAAACTTAACCAAGGAAGTAAAAGGCCTGTACTTTGAAAACTATAAAACACTGATGAAAGAAATTAAAGATGACACAAACAAATAAAAAGATATTCCATGCTCATGGATCAGAAGAACAAATCTTGTCAAAATGCCAATATTACCCAAAGCAATTTCCAGATTTAATGCAACCCCTATCAAAAGATCAATAGCATTTTTCAGAGAACTAGAACAATCTTAAAATGTGTCTGGAACTACAAAGGAGGCAAGAATATGCAATGGGAAAAACAAAGCCTTTTCAACAAATGGTGTTGGGAAAACTGGACAGCTACATGCAAAAGAATGAAACTGGACCACTTTCTTACACCATACACAAAATAACCACAAAATGGGTTAAAGACCCATTAAGTGTGATTTCTGAAACCATAAAATTCCTAGAAGAAAACATAGGCAGTAATCTCTTTGACATCAGTTGTAGAAACATTTTTTAAATATATGTCTCCTCTGAGAGAGAAGAACCATATGGTCTTTTCATTTGATGCAGAAAAAGCATTTGATAAAATACAGCATTCTTTCCTGATTAAAACTCTTCAGAGTATAGGGATAGAGGGAACATTCCTCAATTTCATAAAATCCATCTATGGAAAACCCACAGTAAATATCATTCTCAATGGGGAAAAGCTGAGAGCCTTTCCCTTAAGATCAGGAACACGTCAAGGATGCCCACTCTCACCACTATTGTTCAACATAGTATTAGAAGTCCTAGCAACAGCAATCAGACAACAAAAAGAAATAAAATGTATTCAAATTGGCAAAGAAGAAGTCAAACTCTCTCTCTTTGCAGATGACATGATACTTTATGTGGAAAACCCAAAAGATTACACCAATTACTAGAACTCATACAGCAATTCAGTAATGTGGCAGGATACAAAATCAATGCACAGAAATCAGTTGCTTTCTTATACACTTATACAGCCCAGATATGGACCCTCAACTCTATGGTCAAATAATCTTTGACAAAGCAGGAAAAAATATGCAATGGAAAAAAGACAGTGTCTTCAATAAATGATGCTGGGAAACTGGACAGCTATATACAGAAGAATGAAACTCGACCATTCTCTTACACCATACACAAAGTTAAACTCAAAATGGCTGAAAGACCTCAATGTGAGATAGGAATCCATCAAAATCCTACAGGAGAACATAGGCAGTAACTTCTTCGACATCAGGCACAGAAGCTTCTTTCAAGACACTTCCCCAAAGGCAAGGGAAACAAAAAGGAAAATGAACTTTTGGGACTTCATCAAGATAAAAAGCTTCTTCACAGCAGAAGAAGTAGTCAACCAAACAAAGAGGCAACCCACAGAATGGGAGAAGATATTTGCAAATGACACTACAGACAAAGTGCTGATTTCCAAGATCTATAAAGAACTTCTCAAACTCAACACCCAAAAAACAAATAATCAAGTCAATAAATGGGCAGAAGACATGAACAGACACTTTTCAAAAGAAGACATACAAATGGTTAACAGACACATGAAAAAATGTTCATCATCATTAGCCATCAGGGAAATTCAAATCAAAACCACACTGAGATACCACCTTACACCAGTTAGAATGGCAAAAATGACAAGGCAAGAAACAACAAATGTTGGAGAGGTTGTGGAGAAAGGGGAACCTTCTTAACTGTTGGTGGGAATGCAACTTGGTACAGCCACTTTGGAAAACAGTGTGGAGGTGCCTCAGAAAATTAAAAATAGAGCTATGCTATGACCCAGCAATTGCACTACTGGGTATTTACCCCAAAGACACAGATGTAGTGAAAGGAAGGGCCATATGCACCCCAATGTTCATAGCAGCAATGTCCACAATAGCCAAACTGTGGAGAGAACCGAGATGCCCTTCAACAGATGAATGGATAAAGAAGATGTGGTCCATATATACAATGGAGTATTACTCAGCCATCAGAAAGGATGAATACCCACCATTTGCATCAACATGGATGGAACTGGAGGGGATTACGCCAAGTGAAATAAGTCAAGCAGAGAAAGTCAATTATCATATGGTTTCACTTATTTGTGGAACATAAGGAACAGCATGGAAGACATTAGGAGAAGGAAGGGGGGGGAGCCAGAGGGGGAGACGAACCATGAGAGACTATGGACTCCGAGAAACAAACTGAGGGTTTTAGAGGGGAGAAGGGTGGGGGGATGGGTTAGCCTGGTGATGGGTATTAAAGAGGACATGTACTGCATGGAGCACTGGGTGTTATACACAAACAATGAATCATGGAACACTATATCAAAAACTAATGATGTACTCTATGGTGACTAACATAACATAATTAAAATAAAATAAAATAAAATAAAGTAAAATAAAGCATTCTTATTTCAAACAGAAAAAGAAGATATGTCTCCTCTGGCAAGGGAAACAAAAGCAAAATCAAATTACTGGGACTACACCAAAATAAAAGCTTTTGCACAGTGAAGGAAACCATCAACAAAATAAAAAGAAAATTCCAGAAAATTCACAATGTAGAGCATTGTGTAATGTATAGAATTGTTGAATCATTATATTGTACATCCAAAACTCTTATAAAACTGTTTATTAACTATATTGAATTAAGAAATAGTTTTTTTAAAAAAGGTAAGGATTAAAAATATTATGAAATTATACGTATTATGATATGCTTCCCCTCAGCCAAAAAACTTCTTGTATAATCATTTCCAACTATTTGGTGACTTGGTCTGCCCTCTGGAGTCTCTCAAGATAAGTTAAATTCTTCCTCTATAAGATGGTCTTTTTTAAAAAAATATTTATTTATTTATTTTAGAGAGACAGAGAAAGTGCGAGCAGGGTGAGGGGCAGAGGGAGAGGAAGAGATAGAATCCCAAGCAGGCTCCCTGCTGAGCACAGAGTCCTGTGGAGCTCGAGGCAGGGCTCTAGGTGGGGCTCCATCCCAGGACCCTGAGATCATGATCTGAGCCAAAATCAAGAGTCAGACAGATGCTCAACCTATTGAGACACCCAGGCGCCCCTATAAGATGGTCTTTTAAACATTTCCCTTAAGTTTTTGTTATTGTTGTTTTTTTGTTTGTTTGTTTGTTTCTTGACTAGGTTAATTTAGTTCCTTTAAGTATCTTATTTATTATGGTTTCAAGATCCTAGAGGAGTCTGATCTAAATCCTTGGGTACATTAACTATCACTAGCATGTTTTAAGGGTTTATCAAATCCAATGAAGACCTTTTGAAGGAATCAAGGTTTCATTTAGAAAGCTTTAAACTAGGAAAGTCATAAATTCTCAGCTTGGGCAAAGTTATGCATTTAGTATGTGCTTCCAGTGTTCGGCATATATATCTTGCTAGAGGAACAATATTGTGAATGTAAAATTTAATTATTTGAGATCATATGCAAATTGAAAACAAACATCTGAGGGCAGGTCTTTTGCCATGTGCTTTACTGTTGGTTACAGGTTTGGAGGTGCAGATGGCCAGGGAGTTCTATGTCATTAGGGGCATGCTGACCTTACGCCCAGGCCAGGTTATTAGCACCACTGCCTTTCCACACTCTATGTCTTACAGACTGGAGTTTTTACTGCCTTGACCTCACGACTTCTTAGAGTCCCAGTGTCACTGAAGAACCTGGGAAGGGGATAATGGACACTATCTCAATACTTTCTATCAAGCATTCGTTGTCATGACCAGTTAGAAGTCAAACAGCATCAGGAGTGGTGCAGATGCGCTGTGAGGTCTTTCACAATTACAGGAAATGTGGGTCTTCAAATGGTCCTCAGAGGTCCTGTGGAGGGTGTTTCTACGACGAGGGCCTGCAGAGCTGTGAAGATGTTCAAAATTATTATATATAGTCAGCTCTATGCCAAGTTGTTCATGAAAGTAATAAGTAGATCTTACTGAGGGAAGAGCACCCTTGGGTATGTGGAACAGAAGCGCCCTGTGCTGGGCAATGCCCTGGTCATCTTTGTGCCAACTATGGGATTCTGAAGAAGTGACTCTCTGAAGAGTTACATTGATTTTGGGAATGTTATTTTATATCAGTAGCTCTCAACTGGGTGTGATTTTGCTCCCCAGGGGACATTTGACAACGTCTGAACACATTTTTGATTATCACAAGCTAGGGGGAAGGCATCTATCTAGTAGATAGAGCCTGAGATGCTCTAAACCTCCTATAATGCACAGAACACCCACAACAATGAAGTATCTGCTGCCAAATGCCAGTGGTGCTAAAAATGAGAAACCCTGAGTTATACCTCATTGTTATAATCTGAATACCTAAAAATCCATGATTCCCTGACTGGCAATGACGTAATATCCGGGAAGAAAACCCAAATCTCAAAATGATGCCTGTGAGAGAGACCTTTGTATGAATTATGGTGATCCAATGATTGTTTTACATATACAATTAGATATATTATCATGAAGGAGAAAAAAAGGAATTGTCTCTGCTTTAACTATTCACTAAAATGTTTTTATACCAGTAAGTAGTTTTCTTTACACTTACTACTAATTTTCTTTTCTGTTTTTGATTGATGTTGGGTGTAACAATGTCAGAAATGCTTTTTATGTACTAGCCCAAAGAGAGAGCAATCAGATTTTTGTGTTCATGGAAACTGAGGCAAGTTACTTAAGATCTCTGTGATTTGATGTTCCCATTTTTAAAAAATTTTAAATTATTTATTTTTTTACTTAAAAAAATTTTTTTTTGATGTTCCCACTTCTGGTAGGTAAAGGGAAATGGAAAAGGACCCTTAAGATGATGAGTTCGATCCTGACATACTATAGGTGAAGAAAATTAAGTTCCAGAGAAAATCTCAGTACGGACTGAAAGAACACTTCTAGGCTGGATGCGGAGAGGCTCCTCTTGAAAGAAATCTTCCTTAAAAAAGTAGCCTTACTAACGTTCAACTTTGTTATCTTGCGGATGTCTTTCAATTTCACAATGTACTAGAACTATCATGACATTTCAGTTCTTACAGGCTTAGATGATATCGCTGGCCTTTAGTTGGTTTGTGGGCTAAAAGGATTTTTAGGCTAGAAGGGTAAAAGAAGATTTTATTCTAGCTGAGGAATACCTGCCCTATGGAGTCGTTGCGGACATTAGAAATAATACACGGAAAATGCTCAGCACTATGTTCACTACACAGTGGTTAGGTCGTAAATAATAACAGTCGTAGCACTGGGTTTGATAATGTGGAAACTTTGACCTTCCTAGTGAATTATCGGTTTTAACACTATACCATGCATAACATCTGAGATGTACACGCACATTTCTAAAGAAGTATTTATTTGCTTGTTTTCAGAAATGCCTAAACCAGCTATTTTCGACCCAGAAGGTGGCTCAGTGGGTTAGGGGGCAAATGCAGCTCTGTGAGCAATCCCAGTGTGCCTGGAAAGGTATGGGCCAAAGATTTTCTGTTTGTCCTTCTTTCCTACCCTTCTCTCTCCCTTCTTCCTTCATTTCTTCCTTACCTTAGAATATATTAGAATGTATTATTTTTATATTTATTAGACTAATCAACATAATTATAAAATTTTGATAATTTTCCTACTTCTCTGCCTTACCTGTCCCATCCCCAAGTCTTGTTTCCTAGAGGCAACCACCTTTACCCTTCCAGCTCTTCCCCTACTATTTACATCTATTTTCTTTTCTTTTTTAAATACATCTATTTTCTAAGTGATATTTGTAAACTGCTCTTTCTTGAGATTTTAGACTTTATCATATCTTTCTAGCATAGTAGGTAGGAACTTAGTTCTCCTGCTTCATTCACCTCCTTCAATCTACTTAGATCACACTTTTTTTTTTTTAAAGATTTTATTTATTTATTTGAGAGAGAGAGACAGCAAGAGAGGGAACACAAGCAGGGGGAGTGGGAGAGGGCTTCCTGCGGAGCAGGGAGCACGATGCTGGGCTCTATGCCAAGACCCTGGGATCATGACCTGAGCTGAAGGCAGATGCTTAAAGACTGAGCCACCCAGGCACCCCTTAGATCACAATTCTGAAAAGTAACCCCTCACTTGGGTGAAAATCTGTGTATAACTTTGACTCCCCCAAAACTTAACTGCTCATAGCCTACTGTTGCCTGGAGGTCTTAACAATAATATAAACAGTTGATTAACACATATTTTGTATGTCATATATATTATATACTATATTCTCACAATAAAGTAAGCTAGAAAAAAAGGAAATGTTATTAGGAAAATTATAAGGAGGAGAAAATACATTTATGGTACTCTGTGGTATTTATAAAAAAAAATCCACATGTAAGTGGACCCATGCAGTTCAAACCCATGTTATTCATGGGCCACCTGTATTAGCTTCAGGCATAAAACAATGATTTGATATTTGTATATATTGCAAAATGATCACCACAGTAAATCCAGTTAACATTCATCACCATTCATAGTTACAGAATTTTTTTTCTTGTGATGAGAACTCTTAAGACCTATTCTCTTGGTATTTTTCAAATATGCAATCCAGTATTATTAACTATAATTGCCATGCTGTACATTACATCCCCATGATTTTGTAACTTCCCAGGGCACCTGGGTGGCTCAGTCGGTTGAGTGTTGAGTTCCATTTTGTAACTGGAAGTTCGTACTTGTTTTTTTAAAAAACCTTTATTGGAGGTGCTTGAGCGTTTCTAGTAACCTTTAAGTTTTGCCCACAACTGCAGGTCTTTGGGGCTAACACCAAGGCAGTGAGTAACGATCTACTTCTTGGTATAGCATCGTGAAGCTCTTAGGCCTTTTATCAGAAGGCGTGTGGTCGTAGAGACCACAAATTACCTGGGTGGGCTCAGTGCCTATTAATTTATGTCATTCTCAGTTTGATCACTAGCCACGTGGTTGGACGGATGAAACAATGGTGGCCTGTGGTTTAGACTTAGGTGGGTCTTTTGATGAGAATTAAAACTGAACCCAAGGTAGGACCCTGACCTCAGACAGTCATGGGTAAAACTAGCCAGAAGTAAATCTGTGTACTCTGCTACGGAAACAGTGAGACAAAGAGCCAAAATAAACGAATCCACAGATATTTATTGACAAAGACTCAGAGTAGAGCTTATGTCTATCAGGTAATTGTTGATGTGCTAGACAAATGGATATGCGAAAATTACTGTCATTTTAAAATCTCAAGTGACAGAATAAATATTCGAAGTATGATACAGTGTTTGTGTGTGCTTCCCACAAGATTTTATATTTAGGTCTGGCACTTGTGCTTTTTAGTAAAAATTGCCATGAAATATATATATATATATTTAAAGATTTTATTTATTTATTTGACAGACAGAGAGACAGTGAGAGAGGAAACACAAGCAGGGGGAGGGGCAGACGGAGAGGGAGAAGCAGGCTTCCTGCTGAGCAGAGAGTCCGATGCAGGACTCAATACCAGGACCCTGGGATCACCACCTGAGCCAAAGGCAGACGCTTAATGACTGAGCCATCAGGCGCCCCATGCCATGAAATATTTTTTAAATTTTTGTTTAAATTAATACTGAAGTCTTTTTTTCCTTCCCTTCTCCTGCAACTTGTAATTCAGTTCTATCATGATGACTACTTTCTTTTTCACTTTGTTATGTCTTAATACCTGCATAAATATTATGCTTCCGGGATCATAAAGATATGTGGAGCTGTTTGTTCTTTATAGGCTGCAGAGACGGAGTCAGAGATGAATGCTTCCTTCTTAAAAGATTCAGTGATACAGACTATTCCATACTCCAACCGGAAGTGAAGATTCATCTTACTGGTCTTCAAAATGACTATTGTAAGTTATTGTTTAGATCATGAATTGAAAAGTTGTTGGAGTGACAAAATGTATCCTGTGCTGTGGCATAAACTTGAAATTTGCTTCTGGAAAAACCCAATGGCCCTTGTGCCTCATGTCCCAAAGCTGTACTATCCAAATATGGTTAATGTAGTTTGGCTTTTCCCTGTGCAAATTTCATGTTTAGAATGGGTATTGTTGGTGTTGGTGGGGTATGAGAAATATACATTTTTTTTGTTCTGTTTTTACTGTATTGGAATGAACTGTGAGAATGGGGGCCTATTCTTAGGCATATATTTTAAACATGTATAAATCTAATTGGTTAAACAGCAACATTGGGTCTTCTTGTTATGTGCCTAGTTTATAATCTAGTTGGGAAGACAGGACTATTTTTTTTTTAAGATTTTATTTATTTATTTGAGAGAGAGTGAGCGAGCATGAGAGAGAACATGAGCAGGGGGAGGAGCAGAGGGAGAGGGAGAAACAGACCCCCGCCGAGCAGGTAGCCCGATGCGGGGCTCAATCCCAGGACTTCAGGATCATGACCCGAGCCGAAGGCAGACACTCAACTGACTGAGCCACTCAGGTGCCCTGGGAAGACAGGACTAACTCACATGGAACTTCTACCAACATGCTAGTGTAGAATATAAATAATGAGTTTTTGGGTAAAAGGGGCTATAATAAGTAGTTCCGTGATCTTTGGATCTTTGTCTAGAAAGACTTGTTGGAGATATTCAGACTTGAGCTGGGTCTTGAAAAATGAGTAGGATATGGAGGGGTTGGGGAGAGAAGATAGAGCATTTTCAGCAATGTTAACAATGTGAGCAAAGGCAGGATGTTGGTAATTAATGATAACGGCAATGAAGAGAATACACTGGGGACTGGTGAATAGGTAGGTAGATGCAAATTTTGTAATCACACAGGTCCCCTCCACCCCCCCAACTTGTCTTAGGTTACCACAGTTGTCATCTTTTACATCTACATACATTGAAAATCTACCATTGTTATAAATTTTGCTCTAAAAACTATACATATATGTATTTTAAATAAAAGGGGAAAATTGTCTTCATATTTACCCAAATATATACCAATTCCACTCTTTCATTCCTGATGATCCAAATTTCCCTCTCATCTAATTTCTCTTTAGCCTGAGAAGCTTCTTTTAGCATCTTTCAGATCAGGTCAGTTGGCAAAGACTTCTCTTACACTTCTTATATTCCGTTTTATGATATTTTTGCTGATACAGAATTCTGTGTTGCTAGATTTTTTTCTTTCAGCATTTTAAAGATATTAGAGTGACTTCTGGCCTCCATAGTTTCTGGTGAGAGCTCTAAGGTAATTTGAAGACTTACTTTCTTGCTTCCAAGACCTGAATCTAATTATACATGTGAGAACTTTGGATATTATTCCAAAAGTCCCTGAGGTTTTGCTCATTAATTTTTCAATTCAAGGGGCAAAAGGAGAGGGAGAAGCAGGCTCTCTGCAGAGCAGGGAGCCTGATGCGGAGCTCGATCCCAGGACCCTGGGATCATGACCTGAGCTGAAGGCAGACGTTTTACCAACTGAGCCACCCAGGCACCCCTGTCTTAGTTAAGTTTATACCTTAAGTTTTGTCTTGCCTTTTGTGGCTGGTGTTTTTTTTTTTTTTTAAATATTTTATTTATTTATCAGAGAACGAGAGAGAGAGGGAGAGCACAAGCAAGGGGAGTGGCAGGCAGAGGGAGAAGCAGGCTCCCTGAGGAGCAAGGAGCCGTATGCGGGACTCAATCCCAGGACCCTGGGATCATGACCTGAGCTGAGTAGACATTTAACCGACTGAGCCACCCAGGTGTCTGTGGGTGGTGTTTTGAAGTCTCAGATCAGTTCCTTCTGCCTTGACTATGCTGGTTTGGGTCTATCCCTCATATATACGGATCAGAGTCTAGTCTGAGTTCTAAATGGACTTTAAATCTCAGTTCAGTTCTCAAAGCCTTTGCTAAGCTGATTTGAGTTTTCCCTGTACTAACATGATTTCAGGGTAGGGCTGAGATGTGTGTGGGTTCATACATTCACAACAAGAGAATGCCTTTCTGTAGCTCTCTCCCCTCCAGGACTTTTTCTACACACTTTGGCCACCTCAGGCTCCTTTCCCTGGCTCCTCTCACCAGAAAGATGATGAGCTTTCTATCAGAGTTTTAGCAGCTAGTGCTGTTCCGTGACTGGGGCCCACCCTCTGGCCAAACCATGTGAGAAAAAAAGTGAGAAACTCACCCCTGGGCAGGTTGTTTCTTCTAGTTTTGACTCCTTTACTTAGTTTAACTGCTTTTGCTTATTTTCCAGTTCTGAGGGTGTTTGTTTTTTATTTGTTCGGAGTTTAGAGTTGTCATCAGTGGGAGAGGTGGGTTATCAGTGGCTTAGACCACTGTAGTGGAGCTGGTGTGCTTCATAGTTTTGTATTGATATGTATCAATGAGAATAAGAGTTTTTGTCTTATAAGAAATAAGATAGGGTTATATGTCAACTATATCTCAATTAAAAAAAAGAAATAAGATAGGATACATTTTAGTATGTAGTCATACAAATATGGATTCTTTTGGCAGTCAAAGAGTTCTAATAGTAGAAGCTGGAGGACACTGCTAGGAACTTCCAGGTATCACTTATAAGCCAGTGACCACTTCTTCTAGATATACTGTAGTTGGGTGGTATTTTTGGTTTGAAATGATGGTGGCATCTTTCATATGGATATTGTAGGTTCAAGGATGTCTCTGTAAGGGTTATGTGCTTTTCCCCTATGTTTATTGCAGTATTATTTACAATGACCAAATTATGGAAGCAGCCCAAGTGTTCAGTAATAGATAAATGGATAAAAAAGATGTGGTATGGGGGTGCCTGGGAGGCTCAGTTGTTAGGCACCTGACTTCAGCTCAGGTCATGATCTTGGGGTCCTGGGATTGAGCCCCACACCAGGCTCCACATTCAGTGGGGAGTCTGCTTGCCCCTCTCCCTCTAACCTTCCCCATGCTTGCATTCTCTCTCTCTCTCAAATAAAAAAAATCTTAAAAAGAGATGTGATATATGTAGGTACATATATATACATTTGATATGCATGTATATATATATATGTTTGAGTTTTATTCAGCCATAAAAAGAATATTATTCAGCCATAAAAAAGAATGAAATCTTGTCATTTACAACAAGGATGGACCTAAGTGAAATACATCGGTCACAGAAAGACAAACACCATATGATGAAGAGACAAACCAAAAAACAGACTCTTAACTATGGAGAACAAACTGATCCTTGCCTGAGGAGAGGTGGGTGGTAGGATGGGTTAAACAGGTGAAGGGGATTAAGAGTGCACTTGTCGTAATGAGCACCGAGTAATGTGTAAAATTGTTGAATCACTATATTGCATACCTAACACCAATATAACACTATATGTTAACTCTATTGGAATTAAAAGAAAAAAGAAAAAGAAAGACCAGATAATTTCAATGACAAAAATAGGTGCTTTTAATTTTTAGTGATCAGTTAGATAAAATCCATGGGTACTAATAATGGTAGATTAAACTTCCAAGTTCTCTAAATGACTCTAAATAAATATATTTGATTATAAATAGTAAGCATTATTGCTCATTAGACTGTGAATCTTGACACAGAATTCTAGGTTTTATTTTTGAACTTCTAATGATCTGCTTGCATATGTGATTCTATTTTCCAACGACCATGGGAAAGGTATTAATTTTGCTCATCTATCTGCAAAAAAATTGGTTACTTGAAAACGTTTTTTATTTGACTAAATAATTACCCTAATATGAAATGCTTTTCTTATAGATCTGAATATTCTAGATTGGAATTTTCAAAATCTTGTTGCTATAGCCCTTGGATCTTCTGTGTTCCTCTGGCATGGGGAAAACTACAGTGTGATTGAAAACATAGACCTAAATCTCAATTGTAACTATGTATCTTCTGTGTCCTGGATAAGAGAAGGAACCTGCCTGGCACTTGGCACCAGCGAGGGAGAAGTACAAGTAACAGTTTTTTTTTCCCCCCTCAAAATGTGCTCTGTGTAATTGCTACATAACTAGAATTGACCTTTAATAACAATATACAAGAGAGAATCTCTATTAATTGTGGCGCTTGAAACTATGGGGAGTGAGTGGATATAGCATTCTGGTTCCTTTTCTGAATGGCATTTAATGAGGACGTAAGGATGCTCTACCTAGTTTTTTTCAGACCATCTTTCTTTCTGTCATATTTACCTTTTTAAAAGTTCTTTTTTCAAAGATTTTTATTTTTTTAAGTAATCTCTACACCCAACGTGGGGCTTGAACTCACAACTCTGAGATCAAGAGTCGTGTGCTCCTCTGATTAAACCAGCCAGGTGCCCCTAAAAGTCTTTTCTCTTGTAGTAAAGTTGGGCTTGTAGAATCCCCAGGGTTAGGAGTTGGGAGAGAGGAAGCTAACCTTCAGCGCTCCTTTCTCTGCACAAGCTATGCTCAGGAGTAGAGTTACTTAAAATGAAATTTTTTTTTTCCAATAGGCTCTTTGAAATGGGAATTTACCCAGTTTCCATCAATCTATTTAGTTTCTCATGCGTTATTATTACTAGCAATACTGTAAACTGTAGCAATACAGCAAAACTGTAAAAATATTGCTCATGTGTCCAATGACTTTGGAGGACCACGGATGGCTTTCACTGCCTTCTCATCTCTACAATGATATTGGATGCTATGAAGGTTATGTCAATGATTTCTTCTTATAGCAAAGTTCTCATTTCTCATATGGGTCAGAGTACACCTACAGGTGGCAGAAAAGGAGTCTCTTAGCCTGTCGGTGCATTTCCAGATATGAAATTCCACAATTGAGAAGAAACTAGATGTGTGAGAGCCATTCTCAACCCGTGGCTGCCCATTGAATTCACCTGGAGAGCTTTAAAATAAATGTCATAAAATAAATGCCGTATCCGTTATTGAATCAGAATGGCTAGCATCCATAGCAAGCTCCGTAGGTGATGTCATATACAGACAGGGTTGAGAAATGCTGCCCAGGGTTAAAGGAGCTGAGCTTTCCCTTAGTACAAGGACTGGTGGTAGCAACACTAATTGCTATCAGGCCTTTAAGAAGACAGTGGACTATGAAAAAGACAATGCTATATTTCTCTGCTTGTTCATTTTTTCAGTTATGGGATGTGGTAACTAAAAAGCAGCTGAGAAGTATCCCTGGTCATTTGTCAGTGGTTGCGGCTCTGAGCTGGAATGACTGTATTCTCAGCAGGTAAGACGCATCTTAGTGGAATGAATTATATTTGTATCACTGGGTGATTATGGGGGCTGAGTGAACAGAACCATAATATTTAAAACCAAAACCAAAACCAAAACCAACCAAAACCAAACAGGGTATTAGTTAGCAGCAGTTATGATCCTACCTTCTTGAATATCCTGATCTTCTGGTGAGGTAAGTGGTCCAGTGGCCACAGGTACCATGGTGGCTATGTGCCTGGACCATATGCTGGTATTGGAAAGTGAGGTTCAGGATCCATTAAATTGTTCAGATAAAAGGTAAAAATCTGTTTAAGCAAAACGTTTCTCTGTACCAAGTAATACCCATCAGAGGGATATTTTGTTGGAATCAAGTATTTATTCCTATCAGGGTCAGTAATTTGGAATATGTTAAGCTTTCTGGGGCACATTTCCAATTCATAGATCCACAGATGTTATAGCTGGAAGCAACCTCATAGATCAGCCGGTTCCATGATTCTCAAACTTGAGCATGCAGCAACATCACCTGAAGGGCTCCTTACAACACAGACTGCTAGTCTGTCTCCAGGAATTTCTGAATCAGTAGGTCTGAAGAGGCGCCGATAATTTGCATTCCTAATTTCCAAAGTGATGCTGATGCTTCGTCACTTTTGAGAACTACTGATTTAGTCTACCTACTTTTTTTTAAATTTTATTTTATTATGTTATGTTAGTCACCATTCATTACATCATTAGCTTTTGATGTGGTGTTCCATGATGCACTGTTTGCATATTCTTTTTAATCAGAAAAGTTAAATGACTTTTTCCTATGATCCTATAAAATTGATCTAAATATATATTGCTTTTAATAATTGCCATTCATTATCTTTTTAAAGATTTTACTTTTTATTTGAGAGAGAGCACAAGCAAGGGGAGCAGCAGAGGGAGAGGGAGAAGTAGGCTCCCCGCTGAGCAGGGATCCCCATGGGGGGCTCGATCCCAGGACTCTGACATCATGACCTGAACCGAAGGCAGAGGCTTAACTGACTGAGTCACCCAGGTGCCCCACTGCCATTCATTTTTATACTGTAGTTCTTAAGATAGGTTTAAATTAAATAAATTCCAAGGTCTTTTACAATTTAAGCAGCTATGATATAAATTTGAGATTTCAATACCTTGTGATTACAGGTCAAACTTAAAGCCACTTAAACAAAATACCTTATAAAGTGCTAATCATTTACCGTGAGAAGTTGTAGTGAGGTCAGTTCTCTATTTGAATTCTTTTTACAGTCTGCATTGTTTAAATTTAGTTTTATTATCCATGAGGAAAATGAACAGATCATTTCTTATGATAGCAGCTAATATTTTTGGAGTAAAATGTGCTGGGCATTGTGCTGTACTCTTTATGTGCATAATTGCGTTTTAATCCCTTCAGTAATGCTGTAGAGGGGTTTCTAATTTCCCGCCAACTTATCCTTAATGAATAAACTGAGACACTAGCCTGAGGTCACATGGTTAGTAAAAGGGGCAGAGTCAGGCTTTGAACCCAGGTGGTCCGGCTGCAGAGCCCATATTGTTCATCAGAAGGCTGTTCAGTGTGGTGCCTGAATCATTTTTTTTTTTTTAAGATTATTTATTTATTTATTTGAGAGACAGAATGAGAGAGAGAGAGAGAGCATGAGGGGGGGAGGTTCAGAGGGAGAAGCAGACTCCCCGCTGAGCGGGGAGCCCGATGCGGGACTCGATCCCGGGACTCCAGGATCATGACCTGAGCCAAAGGCAGTCACTTAACTGACTGAGCCACCTAGGCGCCCAACCTGAATCGTTTTTAAAAATATGAGACCAGATTTTGAGAAATTTCAGAAATAATTGTAGATAGTTGTTTACTTGTTCCTTGGAGAAAATTAGCCCAGAAAGAGTTCATTATCTTTGATAAAGTGATAGGATTTTTATCATTCTTTGGCTCCAAATCACTACCAGTGACATTATCTACTGGTTCTGAATCACATTGCAGTTTGCTGTGACATTCAGATCATTTTCTACTCTTTTTAGGTATTAGTAGCATTAACAAAACTAATAGTAGATTTGTAGTTTAATAGAAAAAGGAAATACTACATTTCTATCTCTGACATTTCACTATAAAAATATATATACTAAAACCATTGCACTGAGGTAACATGAAATATTCTGAATTCCAGAAAAGTACTATTTCCTAGGTTCAGTACATAAACTACTCCCTGGGGAAATATGGCAGTCTTCTAAATTTATCTTTTCCATAGCTGCCTGCATCATGTTAAAGTTGTTAGAAATATCTGTCAAAATGGGCCACCTGGTGGCTCAGTTGGTTAAGCAGTGGCCTTCTGCTCAGGTCATGACCCAGGGTGCTGGGATGGAGCCCTGCATCAGGCTCTCCGTTTAGCAGGGAGTCTGCTTCTCCCTCTGCCCCTTCCCCCCACCTTGTACTCCCACTTGCTTGTGTTCTCTCTCTCTCAAATAAATAAATAAAATCTTAAAAAATATAAATATCTATCAAAGGATATCATCTCAATATCCACATTTGAAACTTGGCCACAAAAATTTTTTTCACTTGTGAAAACCATCACCCAGGCAGAATACTCTATCCTTTTTAACCCAACGAATGTTCAAAACCTGTGTCTTGAATCTGTCCTGAGGGGTCTTTTGGTAGTTTGAACTATGCTTTCCTTCATGTTTTCAAATGCTTATTAGCTATTGCTAGAACCCAGGCTCGAGTTTTCTGTTGGAAACCTGCCCCTTTACCTCTGTGCAGCGGGTCGAGGCTGGGCCGCGTTTCTCATCATGATGTTCGGGTTGCCCAGCATCACGTTGGAACACTTCAACACAAGCAAGCTGTCTGTGCTCTCAAGTGGTCCCCTGACGGCAGGCTGCTTTCCAGTGGTTGTAGTGATGGACTGCTGACGATATGGCCCCATGACCCGGGTATGAAAGCCCAGGTTCAACCGCTGAAAGTTATACCCCAACCTACAGCAGTCAAGGTAAGACATCCAATAGGTTTCCAAGTTGCTCTTCACTCCGAGATCATTGACTATCCTTCACACATGAGAATGAAGCCATTAAGGCAATGCTTTGAGATTTTCTTCCCCCAGAATTTGTTTTGGATTTTGCCATTACTATCTTGAAAGACAACCCTATTTATACACCCCCATGTGTTAGATTTTGTAGTTCTAAGTTACTGAAACCAGAGGTAAGCTTGAGCGTCTGCAAAAAAGTAAATATATTTTCTCCTATGACTGAGGAGTCCTAGGTACATACAGCTGCTTTCAATACCGTCCAGATATAGCGCCTTAAATAATGTCATTAGAACCCTCTCTCTTTGGCTCTTGGCTCTGTCCGACTCTGTTGGGTTTCATTCTTTATTCAGACAACATTTTGTGGGCAAGATGGCTCTTACACCTTCAAATTCAGATTCTCCCCGATGGGAGCTGATTAAGAAACTACGCTCCTTGTAACTCTGGTAGAAAAGTCCCAGGCAGGACTCTGGTGTGACTTTGGGCACATTCTCATCTCTCAGCAGCTAACTGTGGTCAGAGAGATGGGTACACTGGCTGTCCAGGTCTAGGACATGAGCTCACACCCATGGAAAGGAAACCCCCTATGACAAGGAGGAAGAAGGGTGCTGCACAGTTAAACCAATATTCTACCATTCTCTGCATAATATTTTTTTATTTCTCTGTATTTTAAATTCTTATTCCTAGTAAAAAAAATCCATACTTTCATTCCTTTGGTGTCATAGATGTATGTCTTGGCCTCAACATAGTCCCAGAATATTTATCACTCACAGAGCAAAGAAATGGTTCTACTTTATTAACTATGAGCAAATTTGTTAGAATGAGAACTTACAAAGGTATCACGGAGTCTCCTGATATAGCATGTAATATGTAGCACCTGCTGCTAAAGCACAGTGGTGGCTCAGTACTCTGGCTTGTGGTTTTTTTTAATACCCACAGGACATTAAGAATGATTTTAGGTCCAAATTCCCATTATTAATGATTTGGGAAAAATCTAGGGAAAATGTATGTAAAATATTCTGTCTGCAAACAAAATACAAAAACAAAATGAAGCAAAACAAAAACCCAACACATGAAAAACCCAAGCCAAGCAAAACAAGTTACTTTCTTATGTGCCTTGTCAGAAATACAGTGAATTGAACCAAGAGTTTCTGAAGCCTGAGCAAGCCAAGCCTTGTGACAGCCAATGGCAGGATGGACATGTAGTTAAGGATATACAGATATATATATAACTGAAATATTTCTTAGAATGTCCTTTAAAATTATTGTTACTCATCATTTCAATTATCAGTATAAATATGCAATACTGAATCTTATTTTTCAGGATTATCTATAGTAATTTATAAATAGGGAATCAGAGGCAATTTTCCTTTCTGAAAAAAATGGATTAGGAGTTGAAATGCGTGAGAGTTTTTGGGGTGCAAGCAATTATGTGTGGCTCCATTTTGTCCTTTCTTCTCTGACCTAGAACCTAAAGACACAGGTAGACAAATGAGAGAAAGGCTTCATTTCAGAACCAGATTCTGGTGGGCGCATGTCACCTACTCCAGCAGCAGATTTTTGCCCCATAGGACATGTTGAGTATGTTTTTTAAAATATATTATTGGATGATTTTTCTTGGTTTAGAATACTGGCAGTTCTCAAAATTTGAGGAAGGCACCTAACAGGTGATTTCTAGTCCCTTAGAAGTAATCTCTAGAGAGTGCCATCGCTCCAGCCTTTAGATCAGAGCTCCAGGAAAGCTGGGGTGTGCGCAGACCTCTGGACTCCTGCTTACCTGAGTGTGTCACTTTCACAAGTTCACTTTCTCCAAGGCTGAGCTGCCTGTGTGATTATTTGAACTTTCAAGGCCATGGATTGGTGTCCCTGGCAGTCTGCAGTCCTTGCTGTTGGAGGCGGAATGGAAGATGGACACTTACGTGTCTTGGACATAAATACTGGGCAAAGCATCCAGACCCCAAGCACGAACTCACAGGTAAACATCTCTGTGGGAGTTTGCCTTCGTTTTTGTCTTTTAGAACCTTGTGGAAATGATTGCTGATAGAGCATAGGACCCAAACACACCTCTCTGTACTTTCTGAGTCTATAAGGATTTCAGTTCTGGACAGTTCGTTTTTGTAAAATTTTCTCTGGGAGTTGCAAGTTGATCCGTGTGTCCTTTCCTTCCCCCTCTATTTCCCTTCTTTCTTTTTTTTTTTTTAAGATTTTGTTTATTTATTTGACAGAGAGAGACACAGCGAGAGAGGGAACACAAGCAGGGGGAGTGGGAGAGGGAGAAGCAGGCTTCCGGCCGAGCAGGGAGCCCGATGTGGGGCTCGATCCCAGGACCCGGGGATCATGACCTGCGCCGAAGGCAGACACCTAACTGACTGAGCCACCCTGGCGCCCCTTCCCTTCCTTCTTAGCATTGCTTTGTGCTCATGTTTGTAGGTTCATTGCACCTAAACCTATTTGTATACTTAGTCTTTTGTTGTCTTGGGATCAACTTTCCTAGAACTAACGTAATTCCTCTAACACCCTAACCCCAGCTATGGACTGGAGGATGGATGTGGACCAAGCATACTGCCTAGAATCCATTCGAAATACATTCCTAATGAATCAGACATTGTCATAACTCTGTGTTTTTTTTTTTTTTTTTTTTGGCCATGATTACAGATTTGTTCCCTAATCTGGCTACCTAAGACAAAGGAGATTGCAAGTGGCCAAGGTAGTCCCAAGAACGATGTGACTGTGTGGGCCTGTCCTGGTCTGGCCAGGTCGCGTGGATTTTTGGGTAAGTACGTGGGTGAGTAAAACGCTGTGTATCCATAGCTAAGTGAGCTGCCGTTGGCCTGAAAAGCCCTGAATGAAAGGCCTTCTCCTCTGGCTCTTTGAAGTATTTATTTTATCAGAGGAAAAAGGCCTATACCCATCCCACCTCAGGGCGCATGTAGATGAGTGTTTCTGAATCTGACTAAGGCTATTCTTTACTTACAATCGTCCTATCTTCTTCTTGCATACATGCATGGATGAAGCACTGATGATCAGGGATAGTTTCTAAACTCTTCTGGAACTCTGGAGTTAGTATCATAACTCACCTTTCCTTATTTTGCAGAAGACCCAGCAGTGCTGCAACGTGTGGTTTTATTGAATATGCATCTACTGTGTGTGAGGCAATTTTGGGGGGTGTTGGGGATATACATATAAACAAGACAGACATTATCTTTGTCCTCATGGAGCCTATACTTTAGTGGGAAGAAACAGACTGAAAACCCCAAATATACACAGCGTTAGACAGTGATAATACCGTGACTCTCTGTAGATTCTGAGAACGTTATTCGGCAACAACAAAACACCCTTAACAGAAAGACTTCCTGCTCCTGCTGGTCAGTCTGACCTCAGAATGACTTTGATATCCTTAAGCTGTTACACCGTGTGATTTGGTAAATAAAAATGTAGGCAGCTCTTGACAGAGCTACCTGGGTGGCCAGGCGTGAGTGTAGGAGGGACGTGAGTTGATCCTTTGCATATTTTAAAGCGTAAGATATGCAATTCATGGGATATGTTTTCTGGTTAGGGAAATATTTTTATTTAATTTATTTATTTGAGAGAGAGAGAGAGAGAGAGAGAATGAGTGGTGGGGAGGGGCAGAGGGAGAGGGAGAAGTAGACTCCCCGCGGAGCAGGGAGGCCAACATGGGGCTCGATCCCAGGACCCCGAGATCATGACCTGAGCTGAAGGCAGATGCTTAACCCACTGAGCCACCCAGGTGCCCTAGAGAAATATTTTAAATCAAGTCTTAAACCTGGTTCTTTACAAAACTACATTTCCAGTAGCTAGTTAGATCTTTCAGTGAGGTGGGGGCCTCTGACAGATCCTGGAGTCAATTTGCTGATCCTGGGAATAAGGAATGAACTGAACTGGTACATTTTCCTTTTTCTCTAGCCTTGACAAGCTATAAATTCTTTAGTTGTAATGCCTTGTGCTCTTTTCCATTGATACTAGACAGAGTTCCAAAGAGTACATTTAACCTTTTCTCCTCTTAACCTGTTTATGGTTGGAGAAGATGCAGTTACTTTCCCACTCTTAGACACTAATGATCATCTCTGACCCAGTAGTTTCTTCCACATGCAATATTTCCCCAAAGTATTTAGCAGGGTGGTTCTTATATTAATGTATATCATGTGGTTAGCATTAAAAAAATGAAATAGAATAGTAGAGAATGGAAACAATGTAAAAGTAGACATTATTTTGTGAAATTTTTGTTACAGTTCTGCAGCACCATATACCTGTCTATATATCTAGCTAGGGGGATGGTCATCTCAAAGAACCAGTACAGTTTACACCTCAAGTGAGCTCTGGAATTTCAATATATTTCAAAACAAAATAGTTTTGAACTGTGGATTGTGGTCATAAAGCTTGGAAAAAAAAAAGAGAAGCTAGAACTGATAAGGGTTTGGGGCATGAGGGGTGTGGTGGGCTAAATGATCCCGCCACGCCTTTCCTTTGTCTCACCCTGTTAACCACACTCACGATTCTCTGGGGGGAAAATTCAGTTGAAGAGGCCTCCCCCATCTAATGGCAGAAGAAAGACAACTCGCCATCCTTACCCTCACCCTCCAAAAGTTGTAATTTACAAGCTTTGAAACAGGAATAGGTAACTTTCTAGCCTATAGGTGAGATCTGGCCTTTGATTTGGTTTCATCAGTCCCTAGCACATGCATCGATAGGTGGTCTCCCTTATAAACAGCTGCATAAAGAAAACGAAATTTCAATCCTTTCAGTAATAATACTCTTGGAATTTAAGGATGTAAATCCTAAAGGATGACCTTTGTCTGAGGTAAAGACTGCATTTCCCACTTAATCTAGTAAATTAAGATTTTCACTAATATGAGAGAAGTGTTTCAAGAATGCCGTTGCTTCTAATCCAATCCAAACTCCATTTTCCTAACAAATTCTGGAAGTAGTTGTCCTTTTTTTTTTTTTTTTTTTTTTGTCAAGACATTTTTCAAAAGCCTGCTTTGGAAAAGATTTGGAATTTTTTTTCTCTGTTACTCCTTTTCTGCTCCCCCCCCATTTTTCTTCATCTCAACACATCATAATAAAGAATGAAAGCATATTTATCACCTACTGTGTTTATTGAATTGACTTTTAAGTTTAAAAGCATCCATGTAATGTTTTATATTTATCCTAACTAAATTAAGTGGTTTTCGTTTATATTGCTTTAATTTTTAAAAATGCTTAATTAAAAAAAATAAAGGACACTGGTCTTCCATAGGAAAAGAGATTCTTCTTTGCTCTGGGTTTGGAGAATGGGCTAAATGGTTAGAACACTGAATTTGATTCTAGTTTTGGCTCTGCCATTAATTAGCTCTGTGACCTGGGACAAGGCAGTTGATATTCCTGGAATTTTTTTTTATCTATAAAATAAGGGAGCTGCTTTGTATCTATGAATCTAAATTTTTTAATGCACTGATACACCCAGAGCCAATCCCTCGTCTCTTTGGGGGCGTGTGGGTATGTACGTGCGTGAGCATGCAGGAGAGCACTGGGGGTGATGTGTGTGGATGGAAAAATTCCCAAGTGTCTGAGATATGTCTCCGTCAGGAGTGGAATATGTGTATGCACTCCTTGATGCTGAGACTCTGGTGTCAGAACACAAGATTATTTCTGAAATTCCAGAGCTCACTTGAGTTGTAAACTGTACTGGTTCTTTGAGACGACCGTCCCCCTAGCTAGATTTTATATGTGTCCCCAAATACCTCCTCAATCAAGAACTTACCCAACCTCTTTCCTTCCCTCCATCCTCCTGGCTCCAGCCTCCTTTCATGGAGTCAGTTTTGTTTGCTTTGGCTTGAAAGTTTGATTGTTAACCGTCACTGTTGGGTTAGGATAGATTTTGCCAAGTATTTTCCAAGGAACATGAGCCACGTGAGAAGTTCACATCAAAAGGACTCTGGTCAACTAAGTTTCAGAAATGCTGCTTATTATAGTCTTTTCTCCCAAATAAAGCAGTCTTGAAATAAGGAATCCTGTTTAATTTTTTTTTTTTTAACCTGGAGATCCCAAACTAATGTGAACATTAAACACTTTTTTCCCCTCATTTTTAATACCTATTAACCTCATATAGAATTATTGTTACACAAAATGTTCTTTGGGAGATGATCAGTTAGATAACAGAGAGAAGGGGACTGTCTCCAGAATTACATAACTAAGAGCTTTTTGGGTCCTTTCCTATCAAGCTGCCTCAATTTATTTGATTAGCTCCTTAAAACCTAGGTCCCAAGGGGATGACTTTTGGAGACAATAAGAAGGAGGATGGGATGGGTGGCAGGAGAACAGCAGTAGCCATTCCTGGGTGTTGGTGGATTAGAGAAGCTAGAACTGATAAGGGTTTGGGGCATGAGGGGTGTGGTGGGCTAAATGATCCCGCCATGCTATCCTCGTCAAATCCCCGGAGGCTGTGATTATGACCTTATTTAGCCAAAAGGTCTTTGCTGATGTAAGTTGAGGATTGTGAGGTGAGATCATCCTGGATTATCCAGATGGGCCCTAAATCCAATGACAAGTGTCCTTCGAAGAGACACACACAAGAGAACAAGCACATGGAGGAAAGGGCCATGTGACCACAGAGGCAGAGAGCAGAGTGATGTGGCCACAAATCAATGGTAGGAGGCACGGGTTGGACTCTCTCCTGGAGCCTCCAGAGGGAGCTAGCCCTGCCAACTCCTTGATTCTGAACTTCTGGTCACCAGAGTTATGAGAAAATAAATTTCTCTTGTCTCAAGCAGTGTGTAGTAATTTGTTATGGCAGCCCTAGGAAACTAATAAAAGGGGGGAAGAGCTCTGAAAGGGAAACCCAGTGAAGCAAAACCTCAGTCACTTTAGGTTGCTGCCCACAGTCAGCTCTGACTGGTGTTTACCACAGCAAAGGCACAGTGGGACCGCCAGCTTCAAACATGGCAGGTTTCAGAGAAGCCTTCATCCTGGGACGGGATGTGTGCCCCCCCCCCCGCCGGCCCCCCGGCCGCAACAGCCCATGTAGTGTGGGACATGAACTGTCTTCCCTTCTTCCCACAGGCCCCAGAGGCAGAGTGCTGCACCTGGCTTTAAGTCCAGACCAGACCCGGGTATTTTCTGCTGCAGCTGATGGCACAGCCTGTGTGTGGAATTGCTGTCCCTCAGCTCCTCCGCGAGCTCCAGTTTCCTCACGTCGAAGTGAGAATAATGACAGTGGCCTTGTCTTCTCCATGGATTTGTTGTGACGATCAAACAGAATGGAGTGCTTTTTCGGAGGTGAATGTTCTCGTGACCTTCTTCCTCAGGTTACTTTATTTGCTCTGCGTCCTTCTGTTGCATTTCCTAGACATTGTCTTTGCCTCTTCTCTATTTTCCCCTCCCTCATCCTTCTCTTCTTCTTCCTCCTTTTTCTTCTTTTCTATCTCTTCCTTGTTAGGGATGTGTTGCCACTGTGATGGAATATCTATAGCAGAGATTTCCAAACACCTTTTTCCCTCTTGACTTTTCTCCCAATCTCCAGTCTCATATTTCTTTCTGCCTCTGGATATTTGCTTTCTGAGATCCTTTCCTGTATTTAGTTTAAGCCAAATACATTAAAAACATCACTTATTCACTTGAAAAATACTGGTTAAAATCCTACTATATGCTAGGCAGTATGTTAAGCATACACATTGTTTCCTCTCAAAATGAGTCCCCTGTAGGACTCCCTTGACCCTCTTCATGGTCTCATCCCTGTCTTGGTCATCCCGTCATGCAGGGAACCTCCTGATTATTCTGCTCCGTGCTTAATCCATTCATACCTTGTTCTCTTCTGTTTCATTTTAGTCATGTCCTGAATACCTGATGACCACTCAGTTGTAATTCCTTCTGTTTTTCCTGTCTTTATTCTTCAGGGGTCTCCACCACACTGTTAGGTTACATTTCTAAAAGCATGGTGGTGATCTTCTCAGCCCCCTGCTCAGAAATTCTCAATGACTCCCTAATTACATAAAGCCCTCACTTAAACCTTAGGGTCCTGAGCCCTAGACCTGCCATAGACTGACTGAGTGACCTTGCAATGTGGTCATAACATTTACAAGAACAGGAATTTGGATTTGATAATTGTTAGGCTTTCTTTAGGCTCGATCAGGCCACTGTTCTCTCTCTCTCTCTCTCTCTCTTTTTTTAAGCAGTCTCCATGCCCAGCGTGGAGCCCAACGTGGGACTTGAACTCACAACTCTGAGATCAAGACCAGAGCTGAGATCAAGAGTCAGACTCTTAACTGACTGGGCCACCTGGCACACCTGTTCTATCTTTTAAATGTTAATCCTTGCTCATCTCCTGTGTTGACTCTGGGCTAAGTCTTGCAATTTTCCTGCCTTGGTACCTTTGTCGGAGCTTTTCTTCTAGTCTGAAATTCCTACTACTCTCTTCCTTTTCTTTGCTCATTTAAGTCTTAACCTCTCCAGGAAGTGTTTCTAGATGATGTTACTTGGGTTTGAACTCTTGGCACCAGTCTGTACCACCCCCTTGAACATTTCTTGTACCCTACAGACTTCCGTGTACCTACTCTCTGCCAACACCTTTCTATTATTCTGACCTCTATCACTATAGATTAGTTTTGTCTTATGCCAACCTGCAGATAAATGGGATCACACCCTGTATATCCTTTTTGTCTGACTTCTTTCACTCACTATTAAGTTTGTAATATTAATTCATGTTGTAACTTGTAACTGTAGGTTTTTCTCTTTCATTGCTGTGTGACATTCCATATGTATGTATAAATGTATGACAATTTTTGATCCATCTTATTGTGGATGAATATTTGAGCTATTTTCAGTTTTGACTTTAAGAATAAAGTTGTGGGGCACCTGGGTGGCTCAGTTGGTTAAGTATCCGACTCTTGATTTTGGCTCAGGTCATGATCTCAAGATCGTGAAATCAAGCCCTATGTCAGGCTCTGTGCTCAATGGGGAATCTGTTTGGCAGAGTCTCCCTTTACCCTTCCCCGTGCTCACATGCCCTCTAAAAATAAATAAATCTTTAAAAAAGAAGAATAAAGTTGTTATGCACATTTTTAAACGTTCTTTAGTGGACAAAAGCACTCATTTCTGTTGGGTATATACCCAGGTGTGGAACTGCTTGGTCATAGGATATGTCTGTTGAGTTTTAAGTAGTCACTGCTAACTTTCCTAAGAAGTATCAGCAATGAATGAGGGTTCCATGAAACTACTTTTTAAGTGGACTTCAAAATCTGTGATGTTGCTAGCAGGGAATGTTCCATCCTCTTATTGCTGTTAAAATTCTAACTATGAATTAGGGATTATCACAGGTATCTACAGTATCATCCCAGTGACTCTGTTAGAGCCCTGTTTTAGATGTTAGTACCAGACCTCACTTTTTAGTGTAGGGACTCCCATCCCTAGCTGTATGTTGGAACCACTGGGGAGACTATATGGAGAATATTATGTCCTGGGTCTCATTGAATACAATTAAATAAAAATTTCTAGAGGTGGGGCCTGAGCATTTGTAATTGAGCAATGCTCCCTTTGTTTTAAGTGCCTATTTCTTGGTGGTGATGTATGTTCTTGGTTTGGGTATACATTATGTGTGTGTGTGCATGTGCATGTATACTCCTAAAGGAACAGATGGAAATTGAAGGAATCCATTCACATAATCCCATTTTGAAGTGGCTGCTGGACTGATGACTACCCAATGAGTTCAATGTGCTGAATAACAACATAGGGGGTTTTCGAGGAAAACTTTGAGCACTTACTCCCTAGTATGTGATGGCAGCCCCTGTAACCATTGTGTTGGTTGGATCCACCCAGGCTCAGGGATGAGGAGAACCGAGAAATCACCTAGATAATCAAAGGCTTATATGCACACTAATGAGAGAGGAGGCTGACTCTCTGTTGTATACTTTTCTTGTCTGGCCAAGTGCATCATTTCTGTCCCCTAGAATTTTAATTCCTATTTCTCACCTGCCTTTGGAAAACACTGTAAGACATCTCCTCTTCTATTTCTTTCTTAGACTCAGGTTCTTGAGCTAGATAGAGAGATAGAGAGACAGAGAGACAGAGAGATAGATAGATAGATAGCATGTGTTGATGTGGAGCCATGGCCTTAGAAGGGCAAATGCATTTCCTTTTAACCCAAATGCTCCAGACTGTCTGTTCCTGTTTCCTGCAGAATTGTTGAGCCTGTCACTAGACAGACCTGCCCTTATTGTCACTCCTGCCGGGCCCCATTTGGACAGTGAATAATTCAAGGAAAGTATGTATGCCACTTGACACATGGATGACACTGTGACACTGGTCCCCTCATCTCTCCCTTGCAATATGTGTAAGGTTGTCATATTACTCTGCTTCGCTTTGCCAGTGCAGATCTGCTCACTGAAGGTATAGGAGAAATGGGTACAGTTACACAAATTGATTTTATTTATGGTAAGATTAAAAAGTCACAGCAAGTGCCCATCCCGTAAATGATGAATCACAAAATTCTACTCCCGAAGCCAATACTACACTATATGTAACTACCTGGAATTTAAATAAAAATTTGAAACAAACAATGAAAAAAGAAGTGACAGCAAATGAAATGAAGTACAATTAGCTAAACTAACCCCTTCATAGTCTTAATTATCCAGTTGAGATGCTTCTGCGAGAGAAGAGTATAGATGCCAGGTCCTCGAGGGTCTCCGCATTTTCCTGGAAGGCCAAAGGCAGTAACGCCTCTAAATGTACCCTCACATATCAAAGGGCTTCCAGAATCTCCCTGGGGGAAAACAAGAGAGGGAATGGGGATCAGCATGGAACATGATCACTAGTGGGATGGGAAGAATTCTGTTGAATGTGGAACATTCAATGTGGAGTTAAAACCAATCTTGACTTAAATGAAAATTAGTGCTGAAAAGTCCCAAATGTTTGGAAATGTTTTAATATTTTTAAAGTGGCTTACTCAATTTATTTGTAAACCAGTGAACATGAAATAAAACTTGTATTGTTGCTCATGTTACCCACTAATTTTGAGACTGATTCTGCTTTAGAAGGGAAACCCTCCCATTTGTCGTTTTCTTAAAATGCTTTATAACTCAAGGGGTAAAATAGTGCAATGCAGATGGGACGTTGAGGCAAAGAGCAAGCACCGTGTCTTCTAGTTTCTCTGGCATGTGTTTTCCTAAAGGAACAAAACCAAAGCAACTTTCCCCTTCATCTGTCAAATAGACAGAAATTGCTTCCCCAAGTCTCTTTGGAGCATCTGACACTAGACGGGACCTTCCAGGAACCAGTGATCACACTTCAGAGCTAGCTGACTCCACCAACAGAGAGGCTTCAGTTAGCTGGAGGTCACTGCTTCATGCCCCCTGCCTGTGCCACCACTGTGTGAGCCTGGATTGTCTCACAGAACTCTAGAATCAGTGTATTTTAAATGTATTTGAGGTCTAGAGTCTGAAGTGGTCATTTCACAGCTCTGGCTTTAGGGAATATCGGTGGTGAAAGACAGAGGGCCACTGAGGCATGTGCATAGAACTGCAAATGCCGGACTCTGAGTGCCCAGCTCCTTCCCAGCCACATGAAGGCATCAGTGGTCCCTCCTTTTCAGGCAAAAATTGGCCTTATGAGTATATGAACTGAGGAAGTATGTGGGAGCCTGGGATCCCTACTGGACAGGTATATTTCACAGAGGGTCTGAAATTTTCACAGGGAGTCCTTCAGGTTTAATTCACCCGCGGCCAATTCTAAGGGGTCTTGGGCACTACAAGGATGGCAGAAGGACTGCTAATCTTCAACCCTGGAGGGTGGCTGTGGAGAGGACAGGCACACTGGGACGCTGCTGTGGCCTTAGGATGTTGCATGTGGTTCCAAGGGCGCGAAGGTTCTGGGTTCCTGGATTGCCAGGATGGTGGATGAGGGGAGGGGAGGAGGGAGGGCAAAGGAGAGAAAGTGGAAAGGTGCAGAGGACCAATGTCATCTCTTCCTGGGATGTGCCTAGCCTTGGTTCTGAAACCAGCCATTCAGATTCTGCAGATGTTTAGACAAGCTTCCGGGAGACCCCTGGATCTCTCAGTCTCTGATTCAAACTCCCAGACCACCTACACTGCAACTCCTTCTCTTCAGGGGAGGTTCTACAGGGTCTTTGGGAAAAGTGAGAAATGATAAACTCAGAGCTTAAAACTTCTAAGGAGTCTCTGCTACTCGTATCTTTAAGCAGGGCCGTGTCCCACCGCCTCTCAGGGGACTCTGGGATGGAGGCTTGCATAGTCTCTGTATGGGTCACATTTGGAAGTTGCTTC